CAATTTACCAAAGGTTGGAATCGAAGTTTCACAAAAACAACACACAACACTCACCAACAAGAGAGCTTGTAAGTCTATCAATTCAGTTACCTCACTTGACATAGATAATGAAATAGAAATGATTTCCAAAACATTCAAACAATTTTTCCTTCGGATTGGAAAAATAAAAAATCAAACAAAAATAACACACTTTCATGAACCAATAAAGCCACTAAAAGGCAGGAGGGTCCCTTTACATTTACTGGATTCAGTAAAATCAGAATTATACAGACTTAAATCCAAAGGACACATCAAAAAATTAGAAAACTGTGACGAGGACAGATTTATTAGTCCGATAGTTATCACTTGTAAAAAAGACAAATCGATAAAGCTAGCTCTAGATTCAAAATTTATCAACAAACAAATAACAAGAACAAATATCAGATGCCCAATATACACGAATTAGTGGATAACGTAGCGGCTCAAATTTCAAACAATTCCGCCGGAGAAGTATGGTTTACAAATCTAGACCTAAAGAATGCATATATTCAACTCTCGCTAGACAATTTTATTAGCAGCCAATGCAATTTTAGCCTAGTTGACGGAGATATAACAGGCACTTATCAGTTTTTAACCGGTTTTTATGGACTCGGCGATATGCCAAACGAGTTTCAAAGAGTCATGGACTCAACCCTGGGATATATTCCTTTTACAACTTGTTACCTTGACGACATATTAGTCGCTTCCAAAGGAAGCTTTAACGATCACAAGAAAATTGTTTATAAAATTTTATCAACGCTAGATAGTTACAATTTCGCAGTTAAATGGTCGAAATGCAAATTCTTCCAAAAAAAAATCGAATGGCTCGGCTTTAAAACATCGAAATCCGGAATCGCCCCACTATTCGATAAAACCAAGGCAATCAAAGATATTCCAATTCCAAAGAATCTAAAAGAATTAAGATCATTCTTCGGGTCAACTAATCAGTACATTAAATTTGTACCAAATTTAGCATCCCTCGGAAGCCCGCTTAGACCTCTTTTAAACATGAAGTCAATTTTCCTTTGGAATGAAGATCACTCAAAAGCATTCGATAAGATTAAATCAGAAATAGTAAATCTTACTGAAAACACCCACTTCGACGTAAAAAAGCCCACGAGAGTAAAAACCGATGCTTCACATAATGGGTTAGGTGCATCCCTTGAACAACTCCATGAGAACGTTTGGAAAACAGTGTCATTTGCTTCAAGATTTTTAAATCCTCATGAATCCAAATATTCAACAAACGAATTAGAGTTATTAGGAGTTGTATGGGCAGTGGAACATTACAAAAATTATCTCTACGGCTCCCAATTCGAAATTATTACCAACCACAAAGCTCTCCTTTCCGCTTTGTCACCTAATCACGGAAACAAAACGTACCATAGCCGATTGACAAGACGTGTAGATCGTCTTCTAATATTAAATTTTACTATCAAGCATTTAGCGGGAAAAGATATGGGTTTTACCGACTAAATTTCAAGAACTCCTTCGGGTAAAGCAATTCCCCCATCACATTACGACGAAGAATTTGTAGTTGCAACTACCAGAAAAATATATAATGCACTGAATCCTTTGGATAATGAAAATCCATTACGTAATTCAATTAATTCAATTTCGGAAAATTCCCAGTACACGAAATTACAAAATCACGTAATAATTACAGCATTGAATTTCGTCAATTCTTCCATCTCAATCTGCAATCAAAAACACTATAGAACAGAATTTTGTAACTCTAAATGTATTCCCTCGGATTTCTCAAGCACCGATTCTACTAAAATCCTTCTATCAAATTCAGCCTTTATTTATTTTTTAATTCTTAACAGTAGCTTAATTAGTAATCCTTCGGATCTCAAACTTATAAATAGTGTAAATATGTCAAATAACCAAATTGTAGTAAATCCTTCCACTTCCGGGATACAAGTCTCTATTGATTTCCATATTTCCTCAGAGCACAAAAAGTTAGTAACTAAATTTCGAGAAAACTTAAAGTTATCTGAAAGACCTTTGGATTTAGTACATTATTTAATGCAAAGTTGGTTGCTTTATTAACGGCAAATAATGAGATGTTAAATCCAATTGTGATGGCTTTACAGAAAAAAGTACAAAACATCAACGCAAATTCCCGTTACTTACACCAATTTTCGAAAGACCTTCATGAATCCGACGGACTACTATATATGGATGGAAAATTGGTTATTCCGTTTACACTTAGAAACGCCGTTTTAAAAACTTTACATGAATCTCACCCTGGCCAATTCGGTATGAAATACCTGGCACAATATATTTGGTGGCCACATATAAACCGGCAAATTTACTTCCACGGGATTAATTGCACACAATGCACCCAAACCGGTAAGAATATAAAAAGCATCATACCAACTACACAAATTAGCGAACTTCCCGCTTTATTTGAACCTAATGAGGAATTAAACCTTGATTTTGCCGGCTCATTAGATAGCAACTGGGGAAACAATAATTACATCTTAATATGTATAGATCGTTTTTCAAAATTCCCATCAGCAAAAATTACATCTTCAACGTCATCAAACACGGTAATCGAATTCCTTCAAGATTATTTTTATCTCCATGGGATTCCTAACTCTATTCGTGTTGACCACGCATCCTGTTTTACTAGTCAGGATTTTAAATTATTTTGTAATTCTCTTAATATCAAATTAATATTTTGTACAGTTGGGGACCATCGTTCTAATGGTCTTGTAGAAAAACTTGTTCATACTGTAAAAATCAAATTATTAGCAATGTCTTTAGAACAACAAAAACCTACATTACAAACTGCCATTTCGAAAATCATTTGGAATTTACGATCTTCCTTTCAATCAAAAATAAAATGCTCACCGTTCGAAATACACTTTAATAGAAAACCGAACACGATCTGGAAGCAATTGGCATCTAGTAAATTATCCGGTGGATTTTTAGACAAAAGGAAGTCAATCTTAAGCAGAGAAAGAGCCCTTGACTGGAATGCTGACGATCGGATAGAGGACGGATACAAAGACTTTCTTGTACCGAAAAAGAACCAGTCACCATTGGAGAAAGGCTACGACTCAGACCTTCCTACAACGTCAAAACCTTCATCCCGAGTGTCCTTAAACATTCCGTTTAAAGGTAATTTACTACGAAAAACCAACGGTAGTATAAACGGAAATCCCTTCTATAAACAACTAGGTCAGAAAATAATAAACTCAACAAAATCCACGGTTGAACTATCCGACGGAAAAATCATTAGAAAATCGGACATCGCCATCCCAAAGTCTAAATCCTCTACAATCCGTTCATCCAAAGGAAATATCTCTTTTCCCTCTTTTTCTAACAGTGATTTACAAGTAGATCCAAGAAAGACAAACAAACCGAAGACACAACAGACGTGGAAACCAGACACTAAGACAGGACAACACACAGAGTCTTTCACCCCGGTCACCACCAGATCTAGAGGAACGAAACAGTCTACTAAATTAAACAAATCGAAGCGAAACCGAAATAAAGCCCCGACTTCGAACACAGGATACTTAGCAGGTGATGAATCCATGTTCATTCCGTCGGATACGTCGGACATTTGTGATTGGGAATGGATTGCGGGAGGTTTTCCAGGCAGAGAAATGATAAGAAAACGCTTCATTTCAGATAACCTCATTTTTAACGAAGAACCTACCCCATCATTTGATCCTCAAACATATCAAACTATCATAAAATCTGAGATTTTAGACGAACAACTTCAATCTACAGATACAGCGGAATGCCCAATTAGTATAAAGCCAGCACCTCAATCTACCTCACACCCACCTGGCGAATCTTCTACCGCTACAGAGGGCCCAAACACTCCTTCGGATTCAACAAAAGCATTGGAAGGAGAAAATCCGGTGGAATTTCCAGTCTTTGAGATAAAGGACTCCTCTGACGAAAGTGCAACTAGCGAGGAAAGACATCCTAAGGAAATCACTATCACAGGTAACGAATTTAAATTAAGACGTTCAAGCCGAAATGTTGGTCCCCCACAATTCTATGGTAAGCGATATTACATAGATATTATAGACGAGTTCGAAAACCAACCAGGCTCCGCTAATAACCCTATATCTCTGGACGAGGGTGACAGCTCGGGCTCCCCCACACAAACCTTCAGAGAGAATCCCTCGGATAACCAGACCCACATTTGTGACACTCTACCAAAGGACCGTGCACCGGGCCCAGCGTACCCTCCATCTCCCGATCAATTCTCCATCGCCTCTGCTGACGAATCCCTGAGAGATGCGGTGAATAGTTTCGACAACTACATCGACTTAGACAGTGAAATTTTTAACGCTGAGCTAGAAAAATTCATAGAAGGGGACAGCTAAACTCAATCAAAATTTTGAAAACTCGCATTTAGTCATAATAATCGTACTAGTATTTCGTTTCAGCGCAGTTAGAGTTTACCTATTTATAACTAGGGATTATAATCGATTTGTTTTAACTTTTCTTAAATGCGGGAAGAGTTTGCAATTCTACTGTACTCATTACAATTCCACTGCTACAGTTTGCATTTTTCTTCTATGGACGTCAACCAGGGTAGATACCGACTCTTGCAAGAAATTAAATGAATTTGCGTTTTAATCTAAGAAATGACTTTACCCAAATAGGTTGACCAAATAAATATTCGGGTTAAGTTAGCAGCCTGAGCTTCAATTCATTAAGGCACTATTGTTATTTGCCAAAAAACGAGAAGACTTTTGTTTAATACTGTTGCGAATCTTACCATTCGTCTTATTTCATTTAATTAGTCTTAAAGTATCTTAACTGGTTAATTTAGATTTGACCTTGTTATCTTCATTCTCTCCGACGGAGAGAATGACCGCTCACTGTTTAATGTTTTAATTTAGAGATTAATTCACTTTTTAAACATATCTTATTTGTAACTAAGTAGAATTATCCGTAACAAAGAAATATTTTATCAAATACATAAAAAACTCATTAAGCTAACTTACCGAAATTTCAGCTGAATTCCCTGAGTAAAGTAAATAAAGCAAGACGCTGCTGTTGATTAGCCTCTGTTGGCGATGGCCCAGTCTGCAGGCAAGCAAACTGCTCTTAGTTAAGAATAACTGAAAGATGAGTGTTTTGAAAATACGGCTGTCTCGGTTGGAAACAGGCGGTGCGGGCTAATCAACACACCGAAATAAGGTGGTGGGGAAGAGGCCGGATAATGGAAAAGTGAATACAACTGATTTGGGAGCAACAGTATTCCCCATTATAGTAGCATCAGCAGCAGCGGTAGTGGGAAAAAGGGTTTAATCGACTAGAACGAAAAGTAGGGAAGGAAAGGAAAAGGAAACGGCGTCAAAGTCATCAGAACATGGCACAACAGAAAACAGCACAGAGGGAGATTGTATAAAATGCTCCGTGGTAGCAAGAAAAAGAAAAAAAGAGAAATGGCACGAAGGCCGCATTGGAAAGAGAGCATAACGCAGATGCACCTGCTGCCGTTGAAATAAATGAGGTAGAGCAGGCAGGCATAGGCTACTACTACAATAGCATCATACCTACAGCACACGCACGCACACCATCTCCATTCATACAAAGAAGACAACAGGGGAAAAGATAAATCAGTAGAGCTGCATAAAAATCCCAATAGATCATCGCACGTACTGAATTGGTACACATGGGCGGATTTGGGGGGAAGGGGTGGGGGTTTTTTGCTTGGGGTTGGACGCCCTTCCTCCCTTAGTGATTCGACCTTCTCGCCAACCAAAGTGTCCCACCACGGTATTATTTTATGAAATCCATTTCCGGCCGACCAGCCCTTAAATTTTTTTAAAAAACGGCATTTTGACTTGTTTATCCAGAAATTTTCCTGCGCCGCGAAAATTTTGTCAAAATAGGGTCTTTATACTGTTCTGGGAGTGCTCGAAAAACCAATTTGTTCCATCTAAAAAAATTCCGGCAAAATTTTTAATTTTATTTTTTGAAAATACTCACCCCTCGAGAAAATCCTAGATCTGCAAATTCATCTTCATCGCCAGGTGCGGATCTAGGAATTTCTCGAGGGGTAAGAGGGAGCGTAGTTTCGAAAAAATTTTGAAAATTTTGTCGAGCTTTTTTTCAGGTCAACCAAGTTACTTTTCTGAGCTCTCCCAAACGACTATAAAGACCCTAATTTGACACAAAATTCTGCGCCGCAGGCAAATTTGTGAACAAACAGGCCAAAAAAGGCGGTTTTATGCACTTTTTGGAAAACTTCGAAAAAAAGGGGGTTTTTTGACGCGCGCTCCCCCCTCAAAATTAGCATAGATTGGAACGGAAGACGCCTTCAGAAAATTTTTAAGGTCATTCGACTAGGAATGGATATCTCAAAATAGCACGAAGGGGGACCCTTTGGGTCGGCAGTGGGTCGAATCTCTGGTGGGAAGCGTCCGCAACGCCCTCCCCCCTCCCCCTAAATCCGCTACTGATCATCACCATTATAAAAATCCCTCACCCCGAACAGGACCACAAGATCTCCTCGTACCTCATTAAGATTACAAAGATCATCAACAAAAAACGCTACACAAATATGCAATTATTCAGGCCACACAATAGTTGCATATTTGTGTAGCGAACCACAAGAATCTGCACCACAAGAAATAGAATCAACATTTGCAATTGCAAAATTTTAATCAAAGGCTCGCGCTACGGCTCTTACAGGTTATAGAAACATGGGAAAAGTTTTTGAAAAGAAAACACATCGTTCTCAAGTCTCAAACAGAGACAAAAACAGACTAGATCATGTATCAGATTACCAAAGCAATACTGAAAAGTTATTATATCTTAACGCATTTACTACTTTCCTCAGGAGATGCCCGCAACTACTCACACCCTCCCACAAAAGATGAAATTTAGACTATTGAGTTATGTATCTTGTACTGTACTCATAGAGTAATTTCAGATCGGGTACACCGTCTGCTCGTCACGCTTTCTTATTTTCGGCCGGATAGTAGTGGAGGATGGATGGTGGTGTTTTTCTTTAGAGGTTGCGAGCATATTCTTTTTTCTGGTGTGAAAGAAGAGAAGTATCACGGTAGTTTCGGGTGATCGTGTTATGAGTTCTGATCGATTGTGATGAGTGTTGATCTGGTTGATAGGAACATTTCTATTCTCAATCTCGTCTGGGAACGGCATGTAGTTCGACTTCAGATGGAGTGCCTGGTGACTTTGATTTGTACGCATACTTGAACATCGAGATGGCCATTGTTCTGTTGCAATGGGTTTCCTTTGCTGCAATGCCAAGTCGTCCTTTAAATCCATTGAGTGTAGTGATTGTAGGCAGCAAGTCAGGTGGGTTTTGCCATTCCGTAGTTGGAGTGTGATTGGGTTGTCAAGTTCCTTGCTGCTCGTCTTTGTTCTGTATATTATCTATAAATTGCATTGTATTATTTACATATATAAATCTTTGTTAATTTTTTTTGCTTATGATTTTGTATTAGTTTTTATTGCAAAAGCGTTACTATTTACTTCAGTTATTTTTAAGAGCTACTCACACTTGAGTAACTCTCGTCAAAAATAGTGCCGTGGGTGTCACAAAGCGTGGATGTAGCACGGTGGGTGAGGCCGGCTATAGAGCATGCTCAGGACGTCCTCTTCTGGTGGATTAGGCCAGAAGTGAGGGTAAAATTTCATGCTCTCTTTTTCTGTTTTAGTTCAACCTTTCATGCTATTTTTTATTACTAGTGTTTTCTTTTGTTGTCTTAGTTATGTCTTTTTCTTAAAAATCAAATTAATTTTTTTCGGTTTGCCTTTCGTTTTTTTTGTGTTTTAATATTTTGTGTTCACACTTGAAAGTAGTTTTCAAAAGAATAATTTATCTAGTTTTAAGCTGGTGTTAATCCAGTTTGCGTACCGTGGGTTTTCTTTTCTCAGTCATACTGTAAGGTTGTGGTTTATGGTGTTTAGTAAGCTTGCGTTGGTTAGACTGGGTTAGAGGAAAGTTTGAAACGTGTCAAAGCTTGTTAGAGTTGTTATCAGTGAAAGTTGAAACTCAAATTCATTATTGCAAACAATTGTTTGTGGGCAAGCAGTGCAAATTTGGATAGAATTTGTGGGCAAGAGAATAAAAAGAAGCGTGTTTACAAAGGTTAGTACTGCTACCTGCTTTTTATGAACATTTTTTTTTTAATTTACTACTTGAAAACTATGAAGTTTACTGCTTGATTTGGGGCTTGAAATTATTATTTTATTTTCAATTGTATGAATATTTACTGCGTAGAGGAAAAGAATGTATATCCTAATTTCCTGCTTTGTACGGAATAATTTCATTGCTTCAATTATTGGATAGGTTAATAGAAAATTATGAATTGATAAAAAGTTTCTGTTTTTTATTTTGCATTTTGTTTTGTAGATGATTGATGATTGCGCCTATGAAGAAAAAAAAACATTGAATAAGAATGGTTAGTATTGTTTTTAGTAAAATATTGAATTCATATTACCTAATCGTCGGTGAAGAAGCCATGGGGAAAACATCGTGGATGACATCAGATGAGGTTAGTAGTTTAGCTAGCAAACGAATGATTTGTTTAGTTTGCAAAAGTGTCGAAAGCAATTCGAGTGCTTTAATGATGTGGTACTCTTAATTGTTAGGCGATTGTTCATACGGTGTGTTTTGATTAAGGTTATATAGTTTGTGATTATAGCGAGTGTTATATATGAATTCTAGGATTGGGGCTTCAACGGGCTGGAGGAATTCATGAGGTACAATTAGTGGGCGGGATTCATCTACATTTAGGAGTTTGGTTAGTGCACAGAAGATATACATCTCGGTGATGGGATCGTAATTTTGGAGAGTGCCTTGTAAGTTAGTGTCTTTAATACACTAGGTGAAGTTAAGAAAAAATGGTGATGTGTATTTAGAGTTAATATATTGATATCTATGGTGGGGTTGTCGTGCTGGTGTATTGAGAGTGTGATGGTGTTGAATGAGCTTGTAATAACGTGTGTGTTTGTTTAGTTCGTAACATGACTTCATTTGTGTGAAAAGCAGTGCAAATCACGTTCTTTGGGTGTGAGGAATTGAAAGGTTAGTGAAAAGTTGTTAAATTTGTTAAATTTCAAAGTGCTGCTGAGATGACGTTGTCATATTTTTTATTTAAGATGTTGAGAGTGAAGGTGTATGGGGTCTTGAAGAAAAACTTTTCAGTTAGATGGGGGTTAGCAAATGGGTCGTTGTTTAGAAAGATGTCTTCATTAGGTCGAATGATGTTATGATCGTAATAATCGATAGAATAACCATTAGCTTTAGGTGCAGTGAATTATGTTAGTGATTGTCTGTATCATATTTGCGTAAATTGTTTTGAGGTTAGTGCTGTTGTAAGAAGATAGAGTTGGCTGCTTCATACTTCATTATCATAAGGGGTGTTATATAGAGGTAGTGATAGTGGATTAGTAAAGTGGTAATTAGATGCCCATGAAAGTGTAGGGTATAATACATGCTCGTTTACATAATTGGGTTTCTCATCATTGGGGCCTGAATGGAAGTACATATATTGTAAGAAAAAGGGTAGACATATTTGGAGGAATTCTTTGGTATTAGTGTGAAGTGTATGATTAACAAATGATGTGGATGTTCCTGGATTAGATGGGAATGGAGTATTTGGGAACTTTCTTTTAAAGGTTCGGTAAGCGTGGTTTGTACTAGAGGATGGGGTTGATGAGGAATTCGGGTTTTGGGAAGTTGTATAATTTGAAGAGGGGGTTGGGGTTGATGGGTTGGATGATGTTATAGATCGTGACAGTTGGTGAATACTTAGTGTTTGAGGTGTTGTAATTGTTGTTGTAGTGTTAAGAAGTTGTCAAGTTCATGTGATATTTGTGTGTAATCTTGTTCGTTGTTATCGGATGGTTCACTAGTTAGAGGGAATTATATGGGCGTAACAAATGAAATGGGAGAGGGAGGGGAAGGGGGTTCAATTTTGACTTGGGAATGGATAGGTTGAAAGGGAGGTTGGGAAAATGTAGATGGACTGGGTTCAGAGTTGGCAAACTCGTCGGGTGTTTCGATATCGGAGCTGTTGAATTGTGAGATAGTGTTATATACTGTTGTGTTGGAATTAGTATCTGATTCCATGCTGGATGGAGTGTTATGATGAGGTGATAAAGATAAGGTAGAAAGCAAAAAGTGGGATGATGGGGAGGTTGTTCTGGAGGTTGTCTGGTTGGGAATTTGACCGATGGAGGGATCCAACTCCTTGAATTGAGGATGGCCTCAATTTGTGTCAGAACTGTCAGAAACTGATGAAAATGTAGTAGGGACTGTTCAGCAACTGTTCCGAAAAATGTCGTTTTAATGATTTCACTGCCGCTTCCCATAATCCTCCGAAGTGTGGCGCTCTTGGTGTTAAGTGTACCATGAAACTGAGTTTTCGTCGGTCAAGAAGCTGAAGTTTTCTTCAGTTTCTTTGTTCATCATTAGTTTTTGGAATTCAATTTCACATCGGGAGCCAATAAAAGTCGTCGAGTTGTCATTGTAAAAAAGCTTTCTGTAATCATCTTCTGGCGCAAAATCGTTTTACAGCGTCTGAGCAATCGTCCTTTGTGAGAGATTTGACTGTTTGCATGTGAGCTGCTTTAGTTGCAAAGCAAAAAAAAAGAGAGCCATATATAATTAATATCTTCGGCTGCTGCTTTCTTTGATGTAGAAAGTTCCACAAAAATCGAGTCCTGTGATGCTGAAAGTAAAAACTCTACCACTCTCTCGAGCGGCAAGGTTCCCATCTTTGGTTGATCAAGTCAGGCGTCCTGTCGAATGCAAGGCTTGCAATTATGAATTGCTTGTTTAGCCAACGCGAGGCCTCCTGGTTTCCATACCGTTTGTCGAAGCGTGTAGAATGTCATCTGAGGGGCGCTATGAAAAGATTTTTCATGCGCTTCTCTAATAAGCAGTTTGTTGATTGGCGATTTCCTGGTAATGACCAGCGGAAACTTTTTGTCGATATCATATGGTGAATTAGTGAGGCGTCCTTCTACGTGAATTAAGTTTCTCTCATCGTCGAATAAGGGTGAAAGGCTCAGAAGGTTGTTGTTCCTTGAAAACGTTTCCCTTTCCTGGTAAGTTGATTCTCGGGTAGATGATGCTGCTGAATCAAACTGTACAAAGTCGTGAGAGTTTCCCTAACTTCAACGGCTGAAAGTTCTTCAGGCTTAGGCAACTGATGCAGTTCCTGTGAATCGTCACGGTTCCTCTGATTGAACTTCACTAAGTTCTCAAGGTCGTGAGTCGTCAGTTTTGTAGTCAATGTTTTTGCTCACTGAGTTTCTGCTCGATCGAATTGTTGCCTTCGCGCGATTAGCGATTGCTGCGAAACCTGCAGTCCAGTTTCTCCAAAGCAGTTGCTATCCAACTTCGGACCTTTGCCTCCAATTTCCCAAGCTGTACTTTTACCAGAATAACGATCAGTGCCGCTTACAGAATTAACGCTTGTATCCGACTGAGTACCCACACCTGTTCCATCATCTGGTCTTGTCCCCGTACCTTTACTAGCATCCAGTAATAATGCGTTACCACTATTCGTACCTTACCTTTACCAATACCAATACCAATACCAACCAATGCGCAAATACCTGCCCCTGTAGCAATACCTTCCCCGGTTTCCTTATGTTTTTCCATTGAGGTTTTCCGATTACTCTCAGTGCCAAAATCTACCCCTACACCAACACCTGTTATTGTACAATAACCTTCCCGGGCATCATCGCTTTCTTCTGCCTGCAAATCTAACATCTAACCTAGCGCCAATACCATCCCGAGCATTGATATCTCCTCTAGCAGTTGTTGCGTATGCTACGTTTTGAACTGCAGCTTGAAATTCCAGTCTGGGATGAGTTTTGCAGTTTTTGACAAATCTCTTGATGTAGCTTAAGATCCTGACAATTTTCGAAAGCCGTGAAAACCAGGTGGATAGATCAAAGGCTCTGTTCTCTTTTTCCACTGTCACCATTGTAACAGATCTGCGGTCTTCAATTGTTCTGGTTTCTTGTTGTGTCGAGTCCGCTGGGATTGATTCTGCTCTCGGCCAGTTGTCTGATGACTCTGAGAGCCATGTTTGTCCGTTCCACTAAAGTTAATGATATGATAGAGCTGGTGATGGAATTTCCCGAGAGGCACAATCAGAGGGGTTGTCTTTCGTCGGCATAATTTCCATCTCTCGGCTGGTAGAATTTTTGAATGTTTTGCTACTCGATTAGCAACAAAAGTCTTCCACTTGCGAGGAAAATGTCGTAATCACGCAATTATAAATTGTCGGCAAATACAGTTGGCATGATCAACCGCTTGTCGCTGATGGCGGCTAGAGTTGCTTCCACTAGTTTCGATCCGAGAACTGCTGCACAAAGTTCCGAGCATGGAACACAAATGCATTTAATAGGCGCAACTTGTGTTTTTGCGGAAAACATTTTGACGTGTGTGATACCTTTGCTGGTTTCTTGTCGCATATACACAACAAATGCATATGCTGTAGTTGATGCGTCACAGAAAACTTGAACTTGAAGGTTTTTAGTTGTCTGCGGTAGAAGAACTCGGCGAGACAACTTGATGTCTTCCAGTTCGTTAATGTGCTGTCAAAGGCGTCCATAGTAATCCGGTAGTGTGACTGATATCATTTGATCCCACGAAATCTTTTCCATCCACATGAGTTTCATGATTAATTTCAGTTGAATTGTCGTAGGCAGAAGCCATCCAAGGGGGCCATAGTGTCTCGTGACTTCTGAGAGTCTTTGTCTATGTGATCTGGCACTGGGTTCCATTTGATTCCAAGTCTTTTGATGACATACTCGTCACTTTTGAATATCATTTCGTCTGCTGCTTCTCGATAGTGCACTGGTAGTCGTTCTACTAGCTTCGTGTCGTTTGATGTTCATTTGCGAATTTCAAATCCAGCTTTACCAAGTGTATTGATGAATCCGCCCTGTAGTTGAATTGCTGATTCAATATCTGAAGATCCTGATAGAAGTTCGTCTTTGTACATGTCGTTAAGGGTTGCTATCCTTAATGAGTCGTCATCACTTTCTTCAGCAAGCACTTGAAGAGTTCTTATCGAACTCCAAACTAAACTCTGGTCTTTCGGTAGTGCCTAACCTCTGTCGGATTTTGATGTTTCCATAAGATTCGATGATAGTCTCTATCTTCTTCATCCAACTCCACTTGGCGGTACATTTTCGCAATGTCGGCTAAAAGTGACACCTGATGCATTCAAAAGCGAATCAGAATGCTGAAAAGGTCTTTCTGAACTGTAGGTCCAACCATCAGTTTGTCCTTGAGTGATTTTCCAGATGTCGTCTTTGCTGATGCGTCGAAAACCAGTCGAAGTTTTGTTGTCGTGCTTGAATCCTTGAAAACGCAATGATGTGGCATGTAGAAACAGTTATAGTGAGGTCGCACCAACTCGTTGTCTGGAACATCCTCCGCAAGGTCAAGGTTAGTAAACTCGTTGATGAAGTTATTGTACTTCTTGTAGAGCTCGGAGTTCCTTTCCAAACGATAGAGGAAACTAAGTAGTCGTCTGCGAGCCTGCTATAGTGAGTCTCCAAGTAGTCCAACTTTTTCTTTGATTGGCAGTTTTACCACAAATCGTCCATCTGGCCTGCGTTTAGCTGTTGCTTTGAAGTGTTCCTCACATTTAAGCTCATCTGGTGTCCACATTTTTCTTTCTGGAACTTCCTCGATTTCCCAAAAACGTTGTAAATTTCCGTTGCTTTCGTCACTGACAAGAAACGTCTGTTGTAGTGAAGTAAGTCCGTTGCTGCTGTTTTGTTGTCCAATTACAAGCCAGCCAAAACTGAGAGCCGATAAAAAAAATTGAACCTGTCTGTTCCTTGTTTTTATTGTTTCCAATCATCAGATTCTCGTAGTGAGCTGCTCCAATGATCGTGTCAATTTCCTGTGGATCATTGAGTCTGGGATCGGCCAATTGTAATTCCTTCACTTTTTTCCAATTGTCGATGTTGATTTGTCTCGAAGGCAAAATGTTGGTTAGCTTCTGAAGAATTGATGCTGTTATTGAGATTGGTTCATTGTCTGAGGGCCGGATTAGTAGATGAACTTGTCCTTTGATGTCGCAAACTTCGTTTTCTCGAACTCCGCAAATCCTTGTTGTCTGCTTCCGTCTGCGTACCTGTAAATGTTGAGCAGCTGCTTCTGTTATCAGATTGTTCTGTGATGCTGAATCCAGTACTCCTCGAACATGAAATAATTCTCCATTAATCTCGAGTGGAATGATGGCAGTTTGTAGAAAAAATTTGTCCTGAGATTTTTCATGAGTTGCCTCACCGGTAAAATTTTTGTCATCTGTCTTCACCTTTGCTGATGTCTGCTGTGTTGCGTTGTCTGGTTTTTTCACAACATTTTTCTGCTCACAATGATGAAGAGTGTTGTGCTTCTGTCCACCTTCTTTGCATCGAGATCCAGAACAATCCTCACTTTGATGTCCAGGTCGAAAACAGTTGAAGCACAACTGTTTCACTTTGATCAGTTGAGATCTGATTTTAATTGACAGGTTTTTGAAGATGTCGCATCTGTAGATCCGATGGTTTTTTCCACAACATTTGCATTCATCCTTGACTGATGTAGCTAGATTTTCCTGAACCGTCTTTGGTGTCATGTTACTTCCTTTCCTGTCGAGCTGTTAATTACCAATCGATGTCGATCGCAACGATGATATTTCTGAGCTTGGCATCTTTCTTCGAAAAATTTCATGAGCTGATCGTAACGCTGACGTTCTTTTCCTGGTGTAGAAATTTACCAAGCTTTCCGTGTTTCAATGGGAAGTCGTTCTGTCAGAAAGTAAACAAAGAAAAAATCCTGATGATTCATAGATTGTCCATTGTTAAGTAAAGCGAATCGGTGTTTCTCTGTTGTTTCCATGAGAGTTCGTAGATTTTTGGAGTTTTCTGTTGTTAACGAACGCTGTTTGAAGATTTCGTGAAAATGTGATCGCAAAATCAGTTATTTGTTGTATCGGTTCTCCAGAATGACAATGGCGATGTCAAAATTGTCATCTGTAATCGTTATGGAATGTAGTAGTTTGTCCGTGTCTCCAGTCAGAGAAGATTTCAAGTGCTTTAGCTTTTGGCTCTTCGTCAGTCACGTGTTGTCAACCACAGCTCCTTTGAACACGTCGAAGAACGATTTCCATTCCATGTATCCTTTAGAGAAAACAGGCAAAATTGGTTTTAGTAAGTTGACATTCACATCTGTTGATCGACTGTTACTTGTTTTTATTGTTTCCAATCATCAGATTCTCGTAGTGAGCTGCTCCAATGATCGTGTCAATTTCCTGTGGATCATTGAGTCTGGGATCGGCCAATTGTAATTCCTTCACTGTTTTCCAATTGTCGATGTTGATTTGTCTCGAAGGCAAAATGTTGGTTAGCTTCTGAAGAATTGATGCTGTTATTGAGATTGGTTCATTGTCTGAGGGCCTGATGAGTAGATGAACTTGTCCTTTGATGTCGCAAACTTCGTTTTCTCGAACTCCGCAAATCCTTGTTGTCTGCTTCCGTCTGCGTACCTGTAAACGTTGAGCAGCTGCTTCTGTTATCAGATTGTTCTGTGATGCTGAATCCAGTACTCCTCGAACATGAAATAATTCTCCATTAATCTCGAGTGGAATGATGGCAGTTTGTAGAAAAAATTTGTCCTGAGATTTTTCATGAGTTGCCTCACCGGTAAAATTTTTGTCATCTGTCTTCACCTTTGCTGATGTCTGCTGTGTTGCGGTGTCTGGTTTTTTCACAACATTTTTCTGCTCACAATGATGAAGAGTGTTGTGCTTCTGTCCACCTTCTTTGCATCGAGATCCAGAACAATCCTCACTTTGATGTCCAGGTCGAAAACAGTTGAAGCACAACTGTTTCACTTTGATCAGTTGAGATCTGATTTTGATTGACAGGTTTTTGAAGATGTCGCATCTGTAGATCCGATAGTTTTTTCCACAACATTTGCATTCATCCTTGTCTGATGTAGCTAGATTTTCCTGAAGCGTCTTTGGTGTCATGTTACTTCCTTTCCTGTCGAGCTGTTAATTACCAATCGATGTCGATCGCAACGATGATATTTCTGAGCTTGGCATCTTTCTTCGAAAAATTTCATGAGCTGATCGTAACGCTGACGTTCTTTTCCTGGTGTAGAAATTTACCAAGCTTTCCGTGTTTCAATGGAAGTCGTTCTGTCAGAAAGTAAACAAAGAAAAAATCCTGATGATTCATAGATTGTCCATTGTTAAGTAAAGCGAGTCGGTGTTTCTCTGTTGTTTCCATGAGAGTTCGTAGATTTTTGGAGTTTTCTGTTGTTAACGAACGCTGTTTGAAGATTTCGTGAAAATGTGATCGCAAAATCAGTTATTTGTTGTATCGGTTCTCCAGAATGACAATGGCGATGTCAAAATTGTCATCTGTAATCGTTATGGAATGTAGTAGTTTGTCCGTGTCTCCAGTCAGAGAAGATTTCAAGTGCTTTAGCTTTTGGCTCTTCGTCAGTCACGTGTTGTCAACCACAGCTCCTTTGAACACGTCGAAGAACGATTTCCATTCCATGTATCCTTTAGAGAAAACAGGCAAAATTGGTTTTAGTAAGTTGACATTCACATCTGTTGATCGACTGTTACTTGTTTTTATTGTTTCCAATCATCAGATTCTCGTAGTGAGCTGCTCCAATGATCGTGTCAATTTCCTGTGGATCATTGAGTCTGGGATCGGCCAATTGTAATTCCTTCACTGTTTTCCAATTGTCGATGTTGATTTGTCTCGAAGGCAAAATGTTGGTTAGCTTCTGAAGAATTGATGCTGTTATTGAGATTGGTTCATTGTCTGAGGGCCGGATGAGTAGATGAACTTGTCCTTTGATGTCGCAAACTTCGTTTTCTCGAACTCCGCAAATCCTTGTTGTCTGCTTCCGTCTGCGTACCTGTAAACGTTGAGCAGCTGCTTCTGTTATCAGATTGTTCTGTGATGCTGAATCCAGTACTCCTCGAACATGAAATAATTCTCCATTAATCTCGAGTGGAATGATGGCAGTTTGTAGAAAAACTTGTCCTGAGATTTTTCATGAGTTGCCTCACCGGTAAAATTTTTGTCATCTGTCTTCACCTTTGCTGATGTCTGCTGTGTTGCGGTGTCTGGTTTTTTCAGAACATTTTTCTGCTCACAATGATGAAGAGTGTTGTGCTTCTGTCCACCTTCTTTGCATCGAGATCCAGAACAATCCTCACTTTGATGTCCAGGTCGAAAACAGTTGAAGCACAACTGTTTCACTTTGATCAGTTGAGATCTGATTTTGATTGACAGGTTTTTGAAGATGTCGCATCTGTAGATCCGATGGTTTTTTCCACAACATTTGCATTCATCCTTGACTGATGTAGCTAGATTTTCCTGAAGCGTCTTTGGTGTCATGTTACTTCCTTTCCTGTCGAGCTGTTAATTACCAATCGATGTCGATCGCAACGATGATATTTCTGAGCTTGGCATCTTTCTTCGAAAAATTTCATGAGCTGATCGTAACGCTGACGTTCTTTTCCTGGTGTAGAAATTTACCAAGCTTTCCGTGTTTCAATGGGAAGTCGTTCTGTCAGAAAGTAAACAAAGAAAAAATCCTGATGATTCATAGATTGTCCATTGTTAAGTAAAGCGAATCGGTGTTTCTCTGTTGTTTCCATGAGAGTTCGTAGATTTTTGGAACTTTCTGTTGTTAACGAACGCTGTTTGAAGATTTCGTGAAAATGTGATCGCAAAATCAGTTATTTGTTGTATCGGTTCTCCAGAATGACAATGGCGATGTCAAAATTGTCATCTGTAATCGTTATGGAATGTAGTAGTTTTTCCGTGTCTCCAGTCAGAGAAGATTTCAAGTGCTTTAGCTTTTGGCTCTTCGTCAGTCACGTGTTGTCAACCACAGCTCCTTTGAACACGTCGAAGAACGATTTCCATTCCATGTATCCTTTAGAGAAAACAGGCAAAATTGGTTTTAGTAAGTTGACATTCACATCTGTTGATCGACTGTTACTTGTTTTTATTGTTTCCAATCATCAGATTCTCGTAGTGAGCTGCTCCAATGATCGTGTCAATTTCCTGTGGATCATTGAGTCTGGGATCGGCCAATTGTAATTCCTTCACTGTTTTCCAATTGTCGATGTTGATTTGTCTCGAAGGCAAAATGTTGGTTAGCTTCTGAAGAATTGATGCTGTTATTGAGATTGGTTCATTGTCTGAGGGCCGGATGAGTAGATGAACTTGTCCTTTGATGTCGCAAACTTCGTTTTCTCGAACTCCGCAAATCCTTGTTGTCTGCTTCCGTCTGCGTACCTGTAAACGTTGAGCAGCTGCTTCTGTTATCAGATTGTTCTGTGATGCTGAATCCAGTACTCCTCGAACATGAAATAATTCTCCATTAATCTCGAGTGGAATGATGGCAGTTTGTAGAAAAACTTGTCCTGAGATTTTTCATGAGTTGCCTCACCGGTAAAATTTTTGTCATCTGTCTTCACCTTTGCTGATGTCTGCTGTGTTGCGGTGTCTGGTTTTTTCACAACATTTTTCTGCTCACAATGATGAAGAGTGTTGTGCTTCTGTCCACCTTCTTTGCATCGAGATCCAGAACAATCCTCACTTTGATGTCCAGGTCGAAAACAGTTGAAGCACAACTGTTTCACTTTGATCAGTTGAGATCTGATTTTGATTGACAGGTTTTTGAAGATGTCGCATCTGTAGATCCGATGGTTTTTTCCACAACATTTGCATTCATCCTTGACTGATGTAGCTAGATTTTCCTGAAGCGTCTTTGGTGTCATGTTACTTCCTTTCCTGTCGAGCTGTTAATTACCAATCGATGTCGATCGCAACGATGATATTTCTGAGCTTGGCATCTTTCTTCGAAAAATTTCATGAGCTGATTGTAACGCTGACGTTCTTTTCCTGGTGTAGAAACTTACCAAGCTTTCCGTGTTTCAATGGGAAGTCTTTCTGTCAGAAAGTAAACAAAGAAAATATCCTGTTGATTCATAGATTGTCCATGGTTAAGTAAAGCGAGTCGGTGTTTCTCTGTTGTTTCCATGAGAGTTCGTAGATTTTTGGAGTTTTCTGTTGTTAACGAACGCTTTTTGAAGATTTCGTGAAAATGTGATCGCAAAATCAGTTATTTGTTGTATCGGTTCTCCAGAATGACAATGGCGATGTCAAAATTTTCATCTGTAATCGTTATGGAATGTAGTAGTTTGTCCGTGTCTCCAGTCAGAGAAGATTTCAAGTGCTTTAGCTTTTGGCTCTTCGTCAGTCACGTGTTGTCAACCACAGCTCCTTTGAACACGTCGAAGATTGATTTCCATTCCATGTATCCTTTAGAGAAAACAGGCAAAATTGGTTTTAGTAAGTTGACATTCACATCTGTTGATCGACTGTTACTTGTAAAAAATCGTGTCGGTGTTTTGAAACCTTGAAGAAACTGTTGAATTTGATGAACGTACTATAAATACTTGTCGTCCAAATCTTCTGCTTCTTGGATACCATCGTCTAGTGGCTTCTCATCTGTGATCAGTTCCTGTATCTTGCAATTGGAGTTTGAAGGCTGGTACTGTTTTTTGCGGATGTTAATTTTCAGTTACTCGAGTCTTGCTACTCTACTCCTGTTTCATCAAGAGTTCCCCGATTTTGAATGATCGTGTTTCCTTCATTGTAGTATCTGGTTACTATGCGTCAACGAGATGCTCTAGAGCGTTTGAGTTGCTCCAAATTATCTGTCATGTCAATGTGGCTGTGGATATTTCACTCGTATTTTGCTATATCTGTTCGTCAATGGGGATTGTTGAAAACTTTGATTGTTGAAGTTTTCGTTGTGTGGGGCAGTCGAAATGACAAATCTGTGTTAAAATTCCAGATGAAGTAGTTGGTCGTTGTTTCCAACCCGAGAAGTTTTTCAGTGGGAGACACTCCACACAAAAGGAAAAGGCAAAAACAAAAATCCGCACGGGGACAGAAACCATTCCAAATCGCCAAAAAGTTACTAAAAATGAAGGAAGCGTAGCGTCGCGTGGAATCACTAAACTAAATGTCAGTTTATGGACTTCAGTAATTTTCAAAAAAATCTAGTAGCGATTCTTCGGACAAGTTCTGGGGTCTACCAGTGGTTACTCAACCTTCATTTTCTCTGAATTCTCAGCGAATTTGAATGTGGGGGCCTGAGTTGTCCGGATACCTGACCGATGACTACCACCTATCCTAAAGTTTTAGTAAAATTCACTGTAGTTCTATCAAATTTAGCCAGCGGACCAGTTTATGCTGATATATTCCATTTCTATTCCTAAATCTTATATTTCTAACCAAATTAGGATAAATTCCTTAGTAAACTGTTCAGAATTGAGTAGAATGATTTTCCTATTTTAGTTTCACTAACTTTTTTAAAGTCAATAGTTGCACGGTTACAGTTGCCCGCATAGTTACCGTTTGCCCGGCTTCAGTGCCTTGTAGAGATAAGCCACAACAATTCCGTTTCGTTTCGTAACAAAAACGATTTCTACGATCAAATAGCTAGATTGGGCAAAATCAGATCGGCAGAATTTTTTGAATTTCGGCTGCTTGCTCAATTAAAATTTTGCAAAATTTTGAGCATTCAACCATTTGCACAATTTTGAGCTTATTTCTGTTCTTGCACAATTGAAAAATATTCCTGCAATTTATCATTTCGTTTCGTTATAAAAAGAATACTACGGTCTAATAGCTAGATTGGGCAAAAACAAAACGGTCGAAATTTGTGGATTTTACTGCTTGCCCAATTAAAACTGCAAATTTTTAGTTTCTGAACGCTTATTTACATCGAGAAATCAGTGCATTAAGTATCATTAGTTTGACTACTTTCTCAAAAAATGTTCCAAAAATCTGTGTATCTTTTTATTTGAGATTGCAACCATGGTTGAAGCAAACTGACCAGATATAAATAGAATGGCAGAATTCAGAACCAATCGGTTCTTTTTTTTCAAAAAAGAAAGAATTGAAAACTGAATGTTCAGCA